GGAAACTTCAACGAAGTCTTCCTTATTCACGATGAGATCTAAATACGACCCTAGCTTTAAACTGAAGGTATGGGCTCCAGTTTTACGAACGTTACCTTCAAATCTACCACCACAAAACTTAGATTTGTCATTGAGGACCCTTCTAAAACTGGCAGAGGACATAAAGGGTGTGTATCCAAGAGCCGCGAATATAATTTTAAATAATCTGTAAGTGGATGATGTATTAGCGAAAGAAGAATCCATCAAAGTTTGTAAGGGATTAACTGCCGCTTTAGCCTCGGCTGGATTTCAACTCATGAAGTGGGCATCAAACGACCACAGGATTATCGATTCTGACACGAATTGAAGCCTGCTTGAACTCTAGACCCTTAAGTCCGTCTAGCGAGGATCCCAACGATTTGTCGCCACTTACTCCGGGTCACTTTCTCATAGGCACATCCATCCTTACTCCACCCGAACCTGACATTTCAGATACGGACATTAGTTTAGTTAACCGTTGGAAGCGACTCAAGGTTATATCGCAGTATTTTTGCAACCGGTGGAAATTAGAGTATTTTCATGAGCTTTACAGACGGACTAAATGGAAGTACGAGAAGGATAACGTTAAAGAACGGGACTTAGTGGTAGTAAAAGACGACAGGTTAGCTCCTCATGAATGGAAGTTAGGTCGCATTCAGAAAACGTACCCAGGAACGGACCAAAACACGAGGGTTGTAGACATTCGGACTGTTGGTGGCAACATAAGCAGACCCATCACAAAAATAGTTAAATTGTTCTCCGACTGACTAGTCGGTCTTCACGGGGAAGAAGAACTTTGTACTCGCATCTTGTTTTTTCTTTCAGATATGGCCGCCTACTTACCAAACCAGGATTGGCTATTGGCAGAACGCAGCCCCAGCCCAGCCCGTAGACAGCCCAACCAGTCCCATTCCAACGATCGAAGACCACGGAGTAGGTCCAATGCTAGGCAGCCACAGCACCGCGACAGACCCAGTCATTGGCAGCACTCTTGCGGCTTATGCCAGGAGGATCACGCCCTCAGGGCCTGCTCCCGGTTTCGCGACCAGACCCCCTTCCAACGATATGAAACATAAGAGCGCCGGGGTTACTGTCGAAACCGCCTCGCGCGGAGCCACCTGGCGCCTGACTGTCATTCATTAACCAGTTGTCGTAGATGTCAGAATCGGCACCACACTGCTGCACGGGCCATCGCAACTCGAGGAGAGGCCACTAAATATCAAGGTTGCCACCGAACCCGCCTTCGCCTGGGACCTTGTTTTTGTGCCAACAGCAATGGTGCGTCCACGGGTTGACGGGATCGCGGGATTTAAAATTGTCAGAGCCATCATCAGCCAGTCTGCGACAATGTCCAAGGTTTCCTACGCCGCTTTCCGTCGCATGGGCCTGCCGGCAAGGACGTACCAAGGGGAGCGTTTCACAAGCTTCACGGTACTGCCCCGACGACCCACTAGTACCTGGTCCCTCAAGGTCAACGCCCTTATAATTGACGACCTCCCCCGAAGGATATCTTATAGGCAACGGGAAATCGCGACGTCTGACGTTCGCGTCTAGCGGCGTGACGCTAGAATAGATTTTATTCATTTTTGCTCAGCGTCATACTCAAAATTTCTCTCTTGCTCTCAATTGAGTTGCCATATTTTAGGTAAAAATCAACAGTGCTACCAAATTTCAATGAGAATTTATATCAAAACATATGGCAGTACTGTTAAAAAAACAAATATTTTCAAAGATTGTGGATGTTTTTTTAATGAATTATTAATAAAATGGAAGAAAAATAATTTTTTCAATAATTTTATCCAAATTCCTTGATATTATTGTTTATTAAATAATAAATTGATTTTGGTTTGCACAACGTAAAATTTTCTGTCAGAAAATGAAAACAAATAATTGACATTTTGTGCCGCTAACGCTAACTCTTTCGTTTGGTTTTCACGCCGGCGAAAAAGTATGACGCTGACTCGTGACTCTCTGGTTGCGTTTAGACTCACAGTCGTTTACCGTGTGTTTCTTAGAGTCTAAACGCAACCATAGAGTCTAGAGTCAGCGACAGTCGTTTGCCGTGTGTTTCTTATAGGCAACGGGAAATCGCGACGGCTGACGTTCGCGTCTAGCGGCATGACGCTAGAATAGATTTTATTCATTTTTGCTCAGCGTCATACTCAAAATTTCTCTCTTGCTCTCAATTGAGTTGCCATATTTTAGGTAAAAATCAACAGTGCTACCAAATTTCAATGTTTTTTAATGAATTATTAATAAAATGGAAGAAAAATATTTTTTTCAATAATTTTATCCAAATTCCTTGACATTATTGTTTATTAAATAATAAATTGATTTTGGTTTGCACAACGTAAAATTTTCTGTCAGAAAATTCAAACAAATAATTGCGTTTAGACTCTTAGAGTCTAAACGCAACCAGAGAGTCACGAGTCAGCGTCATACTTTTTCGCCGGCGTGAAAACCAAACGAAAGAGTTAGCGTTAGCGGCACAAAATGTCAATTATTTGTTTTCATTTTCTGAAAATTTTACGTTGTGCACACCAAAATCAATTTATTATTTAATAAACAATAATGTCAAGGAACTTGGATAAAATTATTGAAAAAACTATTTTTCTTTCATTTTATTATTAATTCGTTAAAAAACATCCACAATCTTTGAAAATTTTTGTTTTTTAACAGCACTGCCATATGTTTTGATATAAATTCTCATTGAGATTTGGTAGCACTGTTGATTTTTACCTAAAATATGGCAACTCAATTGAGAGCAAGAGAGAAATTTTGAGTATGACGCTGAGCAAAAATGAATAAAATCTATTCTAGCGTCATGCCGCTAGACGCGAACGTCAGCCGTCGCGATTTCCCGTTGCCAATAAGAAACACACGGCAAACGACTGTCGCTGACTCTAGACTCTATGGTTGCGTTTAGACTCTAAAAAATGCAATTTTCGCACACCAACACACATATGTTTATATAGCCACCGGTAAATTCCAATGCTGGATTCCAGTAAATAGGCATTGTTACAGCTCAAACTGGTTTGCTGTGACAATGCAAATTCGAAACTGACCTTTTAGTTTCGTTTCGGTTTTTTTAATTGCGCGCAACTAACAGTGCATTAAAACTTATGTCTAGAATTGTGCTAATTAAAATTTAAGTGAAACAAAAAACCCAATACTCTAAAACTTAAGCCTAAAATTATATACCTAAAACTGAATAGATTTACCTAAATAAATTGAAATGTTAAACCTAAAATAAATTATCCTAAACCTAATTAAAACCTATTGTGAATAATCTAAACATAACTTAAAGACAAAAAACCCTATGTTCTGTAAAAAATACCCAACCCAATAAGAATAAAAGCCAAAGTGAAATGAACCACAATACTAAACAGAACAAAAAATATCTTTATATTAAAAAGGAAGTCAAGAGTGAAAAAAGGTTTAAAGGTTAAAAGTACAAAGGCTAAAGTTAGAAAACAGAAGCCATGGCCCAAATATCAGGTAATTCAGGTGAATTTCTGAAAATGTACAACCCTGCAAATACATTTTCTGCCAAAAGCTGTTTTGTGGCGATTTCATCTAAACAAGTATAAGTATTTATTTTTTACGCCATTTGATATTAATTTTGTGTATTTTAGGAAAACTTTTATTTTTTTTTAAATTATATCGATGTCTTTGCCAAAGCTAACTATGGTAGTTTTTTTAATTCAATATATCTAAAAAATCTAGAAAAATTGCGGAATTTAGGAGACCCATATCTCAGAAAGCATGTATTTATTTGATAACAATATTATAATTATAACAATAATATAATATAACAATAATTAGAACAATATTATAATTTGGATTTAAACGTTTTAAATTGATACCCACATTGCCTTAAAAATCATGAGAAAATACAGGGATCCCAACGGAACTTTGGAGGCCCATACACCCCAAGGTCTACATGTGGTAAAAATTTCAACACGATCCGCGAGGGGGCCATAAATTAGCCACAATAAATTAGCTCTAATAGGAGACCAACATATCTTTTCGCGTCATTTTTAGGGAACACCCATTAATCTCTTCTTATGTTTATTTGCAAAATTTCTTATCTGACATAAAGTGGACTCGATGGTATGAAATTCCTTTTTGGATCATGACCATTTGAACAAAAATTCACTATTAATTTCATTGTGTTGCTCATAGAAGCGTCGTTGATTGAAATAAAAAAAATGACAAGCATGCACGTATAAGTCCCAATTGAGATTAGGCGAGTTTACTTCCGGCAAGGCTTTGTTTGTAGGAGAGATGGGTAAGTCCTACAGAAATGGGAAAAAAATTGCAAGTACCAGCAATTTTCTAGCAATTCGTTTTGTGTATTTTGTTTGTAGTGTCAGTTTCCACAAAAATAAAAAAGCATTCACAATTATTTGGCAAATTTTTTGTTTTCTCTTTTGAAATTTTCGCTTGCTTTTCCACTAGCAAATTTTTCTTTGCCAAATTTGCGAATCAAAATACAAAAGAAAAAAAACATCAAAAGTGTTTACATTTTAAAAGAATTTTTTAATATTTTATTTATTCTTTTATATATTTTGTTATATAAATTGCAAAAAATAAAAATTAAATTTCACTTGCACAAATTAAAACAACAGGTTGGTAAACAAATCCCGGCTATGTGTCAGTAAAACGAACATATTAAAAAGGAAATGTCAACAAAATTGTTTTCAACGAACAAAGTAAAAGCAGAATTTGCGTGTACCGCAAATTCTGAACAGGCAAAGTTTTGTTTTTCTTCATCGCATCCCTCTCGCTAACAAACTCAGAAATTGCCTGTTGGAAAGCAGACTAAAGAAATTCGAAAGTCGATTAAAAATCGACTTCGACTTTTTGACTTTTCAATACAAAAATTTGATTAATCGATTAGTCGAAAGTCGATTTACTTATCCCTATTAGGTTCATTTCTCAACGATTAACCTCAACTTTTAAAGTCTCCTGTGGTAATATTAAATAATGCGATTTACAAACCGTTTATTTGCCCAACATTTGGGATGGACTTTTAAAAAACATTGGCAGACACAAGGGAAGCGAATTCCAAATGATACTGGTGCCGTAAGTGATTTGGAAAAAGTTGGTATATTGGTAAAAAGTCCTAGCGATGTTATTACCGTTCGAGAAAGGTAAGTAAATTATTCGTTCTTGGTGTAATGTTAATTAAAAATCATTTTTTCTAGCTTAAAAACAAATGAAATATTTACAAATAGTAACTTAGCCTCGGTAGAGAGACATGAGCAACGATGTTACATGTATGCAAATCACAATGTTTTATTAGAGGGTTTACTGCAAGCACAAGTTTTAACAAATACAGTGAAAATTCATGGACTGCCAAAACCACTACAGGAGTTAATAGATAATATAAAGATTCCAAGCAGCGTTGAGCGAAATGTGGAACAAGCTGTTTTGAACTCGGATATTTATGACGCAGAACAAACTTTATTGTCCAGGAAACAAAACCCGAATCGCCCGGGTTATAAATATCCAAGAACGTATGGCCAATCACAGCTACGGCGTAAGTAAGTACATTAGATTTTTCCTGAAAATAGTTTTTGATACTATATTTATCACAGCCGAGTTTTATTAAATAAACTTCTAAATGAATGCGAAAAATTGTCGAGTGCCGATGTATCAACAAACCGGCGAATTATTGATGATGCGGTTTATAAAGTGACATTGCCAATAAATGAGTGTTTGCTCCAAATGAACATTACAGCTAATAAGATTATTACAACTCAAAAACCTATTGAACCACTTAAGGGGAGATTTGAATCTGAGCTGCCGGAGTTATACCCTACTAAAAGTACCATCTCCTTACCGCATGGAAACTGTTATACTCTAGAAACCAAATGTCGTAAGTAACGTGTTACCATATTATTTTGTGTACAATGTGTAGAATAATTTATTCACAGCACTAAGCAATGGAAAGTATTCCAACCCACATACTGTTATAACATTCTTTGACAAGGAAAACTTAAGAAATGTTCATGGAACAACTACTACTGGATCACAGTTTCAAAGCCGCACTTTACTTTCTGCCTTTGCTGTTGCAGCAACAAGAGCGAAACAATTATATGGAGTAACTATTTATATAAATTTAGTCTATACTTTCGTATAAAACAATTTATTTTCAGGACACCAACATAGAAAAAATACCAAAACCTATTGTTATTCAAAGTGTCCAAACGGATGGACGGACTTTTCATTTTGGAGTATTCCAGTTAAATACATTGATTATCGATGGGAAAACAGATTCGAAAAATTATTGGTTCCAGGAGGAAAACATTGATTTATATAAACATTGCAGCTACATAAATGGTCAGCCTCGCTTAGATGGTTGCGACAACAATGTGATCCGAAACCTTGCTGCTTTCTACAATAATATATAGATATTGAATGCAACTTTAACAAAAATATTAGAAACTCTATATTTGTTGTATATGAAATCGTACCATATTTAAGAATATAAAGTCAGCTCTTTTTTCAAGTCCAATGTTAAACGTTTGGACTTTGTTTACGTTTAATTAGGTTACCTTCATTAAAAAGTAGACGTATTGTGTTGAACACTATGATGGTACAAAAAATATTAAATATCCTCTGATTTCATAATTTCATCTATTAGAATAAATGTTCCTTTTCGATCTAGTATAAATTTTGCAAGAACGCTGAACTTATAAAATCTAATATAATATCATTTTTAAATGAGTAGTGCAACTTTATAATAAACTGGCTGTTGAAGTAGATTCTTTTCTATTCCTTCTCATATTCCACCATGATGCGGATTATGGTGTGTACGTGATCCCTTCGAAAGGGGAGGTCGCCCACTCGGTCGGCAGGGGTGGGAAAGTGAGGCGTGGGAACGTTCGAACAAAAAAATGGAAGTCACAATAATCGATTTTGACAGAGGCAGCTGATATCCCTGGATGGCCTTATTGTTGTAGCAGCCCTATTGCTTTTACTCAATGGGCTGAGGTAACAGACGTTGACCGAGTATAAGTAGGGTCTTTCAGATCGTAGACCACTCTGTCATGAAAACGGGATGAACTTATTAGAACGCCTTGGTGTCAAATAAATAAAATTACACGCTATGGTGTCTGTCAGTGGTTTATTGTTTGCTCTAAATAGGACATCAAAAATAATCATCATTATTCCATAGTGCAATTCATGTTAGAATTATAAAAGGTAACAGCAAAACCCAGCTGATTTGATTACAATGTAATTATAGTGTGAAATCAGTACTTCCGGATTATGGGGCTCCAAATGTCCAAAAACACCACCCACTTCTTATTAAATATTATTAAGACTACCACTCCGAAACATTTGAAATGTTTACTGCTGATAGTCCTTTTTGAGGAGAACTTCATACATCCGGAAATATGCGGTTCCAAATTTTTAAAAATAAGGCAATATGGTTTTTAATTGTTTGCTTTAAGGATTTTTATTTGATTGCCTTAAGGGACTCAGTTCGGATTGTTCTGGTTCAGCCCAGGGGGGTTACTCTGTATTGCGTTGCGAAAGCAAGTGCGATGCGAAAGCTAAATGCGTTAAGAGTACAATTTGGTACTCTGTAACGTTCGCGCAAACGCATTCGCAAACTAAATTGAAAATAGGGCAACACTGTCGCCACAATGTAAACAACGAAGAATGACAAAAGGAAACGTCAAAAATTTTTAAATGAAAACATATTTTTGTGTGGTACGAGTGTTTTTTTAAACAAAAATGATGAACGAATTAAAAAAAAAAGAATTTTATGAGATCTATCAAATATACTCTCCCTAAGTGACCACGGGTATGAAAATATAAGTACGAATTATGTGACAAATGTTTTCAAATATTTAATTTTTATAGATTTATATAAAATGTCTCAATAAATATTCGTTTATGTATTTTTTAAACGCTCGTCGTTTCAAATAGATCCACAACAATTCCAACTCCAATAAAAGAGGCCGCTGCTTTGAAATTGCTTGGACCTTTAATGGAGCTTACTTATATGTTTCGCTTCCTTTGCGTTTGCTATTTTGTTAACGCAAGATATTTGCGCTTAACGAACGAGTTTGACATGCGTTTTCGTATTACAGAGTGCGGTTATGCTACATTTGCGTAAAGTAGATGCGAAAGGAGATACGAAAACGAATTAGAGAGTACCAATTACGCGATGCGTTACAATTTTTCTCACGCATCGCAATACAGAGTAGCCCCCAGGTACGTATACTGTATCTGATTACACAAAGATTTTACTAGATTTTACTGGATGTCAATTCCACGTGAATTTACTCGCTATTTCCCTCCGACTTATTCTGAACAACATTTCCTGTGAATTTTTTCGCATTCTCGCTTTCGCCTTATTCTGAATGAAGTTCGAAAGCGAAAAAATCTGGGGGGTTACTCTGTATTGCGATGCGTGAGAAAAATTTTAACGCATCGCGAAATTGGTACTCTCTAATTCGTTTTCGTATCTCCTTTCGCATCTAGTTTACGCAAATGTGGCATCACCGCACTCTATAATACGAAAACGCATGTCAAACTCGTTCGTTAAGCGCAAATATCTTGCGTTAACAAAATAGCAAACGCAAAGGAAGCGAAACATATAAGTAAGCTCAATTAATTTTTTTATTTTTATATAAATTGTAAATTATTTTAAGTAAAAGGCAAAAAAGTCACAGTTGCAGACTCAGCAACGTCAGTTCCTACTTAAGTATTTTATGGGGCAACACAGTGATTTGGCAAAGGGACAGTTACACAAAAGATGTTTAAAAAGTAATGTATTATATTTTTTATATATATAAATGTGAAACTATGTGTGCATATTTACAGGTTGGTGTTGATAACCACCTTGTCCAAGCAATTTCAAAGCAGCGGCCTCTTTTATTGGGATTGGAATTGTTGTGGATCTATTTGGAAAGACGAGCGTTTAATAAATACATAAACGAATCTTTATTGAGACGAACATTTTGTATAAATCTATAAAAATTAAATATTTGAAAATGTTTGTCACATAATTCATTTATTTTAATACCCGTGGTCACTTAGGGAGAGTATATTTGATCGATCTCATAAATTTCTGTTTTTGTTTTTAATTCGTTCATCATTTTTGTTTAAAAAAACACTCGTACCACACAAAAAAATGTTTTCATTTAAAATTTTTTGACGTTTCCTTTTGTCATTCTTCGTTACTGTTTACTTTGTGGCGACAGTGATTTTTGATTTAGTTTGCGAATGCGTTTGCGTGAGCGTTACAGAGTACCAAATTGTACTGTTAACGCATTTAGCTTTCGCATCGCACTTGCTTTCGCAACGCAATACAGAGTAACCCCCCTGCTTTGGGGGAAAATTAGGTATTCTGGATTACAGGAAGTAGGAGAATGAGATGAAATTTTGTGCGAAATTTTTCGCTAATAAATCTAAGGGGGTTGGTTGCAAAAACATAAGCAATAAATATTTATATAAAAAATATTTACACAATACTTATTCTATGACGATTTAGAATATTATAAATGATAGTAAGCAAATTTTTAAATGGAAAACAACACATAAAGTGCCATTGGAAATCCTATTGATAACGATGCCTGCTGAACAAAATATTGCCAAGGAGTGTATGAAGGTAATAAGGAATATTTAAGTCGAGTTTCATGCATTTTGGAGGCGAAATACAGACATTTTGAGAGAGGATCTGTCTCTCCGTCTCTCAAGAAAAAATAAAAAATTATGAAAGAACAAAATTAAAGCTAAAAAAAAAATTTTTCAAATTTATCGTGTGCATGATTTGAAGGATGAAAAAAGGAGTAGGAGCAAATCATAACTGGCAACTTTAAGAATTTGGGGAGATAAATGTAGAAATTAAATAAAAAGGCACACAATTATGTAGTGAAATAATAAACTGTGAATTAACTCAATCGCAGATGATCTTTCCATTATTCGTTGTGTTTTTATCATCATAAAAAATGTTCTTTTATTTGTAATCTATTGTAGTTGTTGCACCAAATTGCATCAAAACAATGAACAGCTGTGCCATATTGTAGGTTTGCCATAATTTTTAACTTTAATTTATTTTCTTTTAATTACAGAGCATTTATACAGCGGATTATTGATATTTCACATTTGTATTGTTATAAAGTTTAAATAACAATAAAAAGTAAACATTTTTAATAAAAAAAATCAATAAATAAAATATTGAAATATATTACACAATTAAATTACAATGGGGCAACACACATTGCAACTTAAATTACAATATGGCCACACACACATTACAACTTAAATTACAATATGGCAACACAAATCTTTTTTTCAACCACCATTTTCGAAAACTCAAATCCCCATCTCGCATTTTTTGCATCTCCCTATGCATTCAGAATAAGTCGAGAATGTGAAAGCGAAAATTTTTTTACATGCGTGATATCTCCCAACGAATATCCACAATAAGGCTGTATACTTCTTAAGAAATGGGGTTGGGAAAAAATCGGCTGGGGCCGGGGATTTGGTCATATAGCTTATTAAATACTGCTCGTGTAGTCCAATGTTCCCACCTGTCCATATGTGAAAGTCTTAAATCCCCGGCCGAGGCCAGCTACATAAAACAAATTTAAAGAAAATTCTGCTCGCGTAGCCCAAAAGGAAGTGTCAACAAAATTGTTTTTAACGAATAGAGTAAAGCAGAATTTGCGGTACAGGCAAAGATTTGTTTCTCTTCCTCGCACCCCTCTTGCGAACAAACTCAGAATTTGCCTGTGGAAAGGGGGACTTAGCCCATTTTTTCATCTGTCGATAGACAGTCTTAAATCACTAAAAGTAGTTAAATCTCGGGATTATATATGTTGTTGAAATCACGTATGGTAAAAATTTTAAAATGATCTGAGTGGTGTCAATAAAGTGCATCAAATCGAGAAAGCAAAACTTTTTTTAATGGAATTACTCGCAATTTCCAGCATTTTTATATGTGTTACACATACATATAACTGCAAATGACTCTATTAGAGGAAAGAAAAATACTACATATTTCAAATTAATAAAATTTTATGATCATTTCTTTGTTTTGTTTACATTTTTCGATTAAATGACATTGACACTAGTATTATTTACAACAACAAATTTCCATATGGTTGTTGTAAAACAACACTTGCAAATAAAATGTCATTGGAAATCCTATTGATAACGATGCATCTTAAGATATCACGGTACAATTATAAAAGGTAACAGCAAATCCCAACGTAATACTAATGTCAATATGAATATGACAAATTATGTTTTTAAAAATCACCCAACTGGAAAATAGGGAACGCATACAATTTGAAATTGTTCTTTATTAAATGTGCGTTGGGAATGTTTGAGGAAGCCAATCTTTCTTCATGGAATTACCCGCAATTCCCTGTATTTTCATATGCGTTACATA